TTATTCCCTAAGATAGATAATGGTGATCACCTAGGTTTTATTCATTTAGGTCTCTGCTTTAAACACTCACCAAGGTAAAGTCAATTAAACGAGCGTGCTAAGCAAAATCCTAAGATGACCCCCACAAAAGACCCTCACCCTTAGATAATTCCTTCCCCTGTGAATACAGGGGATATCGCTCCCATGGTTATGTTATTTTACATGGCAAAAGGGATTCTGTAGCTATAATTATGTTTACTCATCCCTTGCCTTGGAGTTAATTGAAAAGGAAAGTATCCAGGTGGGCATACCTAATCATGGGAGTTCTTTAGAAACACGTTTTTTTGTTTTGTTTTGTTTTGGTTTTGGTTTTTGGGTTTTTTTTTTTGTTTGTTTTTTTTGGTTTTTTTTTGGTCTGGTAACAAAAGAGAAAGGCAGAGAGTCAAAGTAGGGGAGAAATTCAACCCAAGGGACATTCTTCATTAAAGAGATGGGAGGCAGGGAGCAAGACTCTAAGAAAGACCTTCAGAAGCTGAGCATCCTTTAGCCGGCATCCAGTAACTCTAACCTCGGTCCTACAGAGATAAGGGACTAGCTTCTACCAACAATGCAAATGGGCTTGGAAGCAAATTCTTCTCCAGGGCTTCCAAATAAGAACCCATCCAGGTCCACACCTCAATTTCAGCTTTAGGAAGCCTTGAGCAGAGAACCCAGATGAGCCCATTTAAATTGATTTCTTATGAAACTATGAGATAATAAATAGGTGTTTTTGGTTATTTTTTTTAAAGATTTATTTATACATGCCCTGGGTACAGTCAGAAGCCAGGAGGGTGAGAGAATTCACCAGAGCCAGAGCGGGGAACAGAACAGGCAGACCGACGAAATACACTGCTGAGGGGAGCAGCAGGCAAGGCAGGAGAGGTCTGCATACCACGTGGGGCCCTCGCTGGCCAGCAGGGGATCGAACCGGTGCTGCCCAGGCTGCAGGAAGCTTTACAGCCCAGCGCTCAACTGCTGAGCCACCAGGGGAGGCCCTAAATAGGTATTGTTTTAAGTTGCTAAATGAGTGATGCTTAGTTACATCATTCCAAAAAACAAATACAGGAAGCCAACAGGAGATGACAGGAATTCCTGAGTCTTTCTTCTCTTCTACAACCACCTGGTTGATTAACTTTGGTCCTGATATTATATTCCCCAAACTACCTTCTCTGTATCACAGACAGTGTCTGTGATAACTATACTAAATGTTCTATGATAATCTTGATTTTAACTCTCATTAGACCATGTGTTCTCATTGTCAATGAATTCCTTTATGCAGTTGATAAGGTATTTGTAGAGTCAGGAACAGGACACTGAGCAGGTTTTCTATGATCTAGCAGACTGGGTAAAGGAGGAGCCCTGGAGTCCTCAGTGGCTTTGCAGGTTTTTTATTTGGGGTTCACCAGGCATATGGCAGGCAGGGGTGCTGGCTGGGGGGCTGGGAGGCATGCCAGCCTCCCAGCCCCCAGCAAGTCTTCACTCTATCTGGGCTCACTGGCGTTCTCTGCTTCTTGGCTTCTCTCTTGGCTTCTGCTGCTGCTTCTACTGCTGCTACTGCTGCTGCTGCTTCTGCTGCTGGCGTCCCCCCGTGACGCCGCCCTTAAAAGCACAGTCTCAGCTCAGCTGAATCCCATCTACCTATGCCCACACCCTATTCCAGGTGTCCGCCATCAGGCATGCATTCAGGACAAGGATCCACCATCTATCCTGATGGCGGAAGGGCAGAAAAGCCTGACATTTTCTTTACCCTACAGTATTGTTCATAGGATCACTACAATGCTTTCTGCAAAAGTCTATCTTCAAAACTCACTAAAAGAAAATAATAATTCTTCCCTATCGTTAGGCATTTTATTATGCTGCCAGCCTCTGATATATTGATATTATTCTAATTTTGAGAACAAAAATTATTAAATTTGAGTGGACTAAGTGATCCAAAGACAATGACTAGCAGAGTTACATCTGAACCCATCTCAATTTAGAACTCTTCTGGGGAAAGGTGTATAGGTACTGACCTGTAAAATGATCCACAACAGAATGTGATCCATTCTAACACAGAGTTATTTTTGTATTTATAGAACTTGAATATAAATTCAGAACTACCTTCCACAATATTTATTTCTAAGATCAGGTTGGATCAGGGTGGTCATGCTCTTACTTGAGGAAAAACATCTTTGGAGTCTTCCCAGGACATTAGTGCTAAGCGGTATTATTCATATGCATCCTAGATTAAGAAAACCTACTAGCTAAATAAATAGGAGTCTACAAGTGTCTCCTGAAAATCTGAATGCTATCACAATTCCCCCAAGAGAATAAGACATAGCAGAAGGATGACCAAATGGAAATCATGTCCCATTAATCACTCTGCAATATCCCCTTGGCATTGTCAAGGAAATAAGAATAGTCTTCTTGGTAACCACAGCAATAATCAAAAAAGATTTTCAGAAAATAGATGGAAAATACCTACTTAGACTTGTTCATGTTGGTGATAATCAAAAATGTCTTTAAAATCCTCTCTTTTTAAAATTTCATTCACAACTTGAACTGACAATGATAATTTTCATTATCAAACCCAATTCCTAGTGACCTGGAAGGTTTGCATGACAATGTCATAATTTCGTACCAATTTGTCTTTATTACCAAGTTTGAACCCATGGAGACAGGAAGCCAAGTCAAATAAAAAGATAAGCTGCTGTGATAGTTAATTTTATGTGTCAGATGTACTAGGTGGGACAAAAGCTGCCCAGATAGCTGGTAAAACATTATTTCTCAATGTGTCTGTGAAGATATTTCTGGAAGAGATTAGTATTTAAACCACTAGAATGAGTAAAGAAGATCCACCCCCAGTGTGGGCGGGCACCATCCAATCAGTTGAGGGTCCAAACACAACCAAGTAGATGGAGGAAGGGTGAATCCTCTCTCTCTCTTCTTGACCTGGGATATATATTTTCTCCTCCTTCCCTTGGATATCAAAACTCCTGGAACCTTCAGACTCTAGATTTGACCCAGCAGCCCCAAAGGTTCTCAAGCCTTTGACATTATACTGGGAATTATACCATCAAGCCCCTAGTTTTCAGGTCCTCAGATATGAACTGGATAACACCCTGGTTTTTCTTGTTCTCCAAATTGCATACAGCCTATTAGGGAACTTCTCAGCCTCCATCATCACATGAGCCAATTTTCATAGTAAATCTCCTCTATGTACATACTATTTATTCTGTTTCTCTAGAGAACCTTACACATACAGCTGCCTAGATGTATGTGTAGTTTTCCATGCAAAATAACAGTTAACAATTAGAAGACAGTAAAGGAAAACAAATTAGGGAACCTGAAAAAATATATAAACAATTCTTAAATATCCTCAGTACACAGAAAAAAACCAATATACCTACAGATTTAAATATCAATCCATAAAATAACTCAAAACACTCAGTAGACTTCTATTCTATTCTAGATTGTATGGTATGGAAGAAAAAAAATAATCAAAGGACATAAGTGGATACTTGAATATATTGAGCTCATTCAATACCCGAATTATACAGAAGCACCATGGAAGGGACCAAAACAAAAGCTGATCTGTGATGTAGGCTAGATGAAACAGCCAGACACCAAAAACTGTTTTAAGTCCTCACCTCTGTAAAATTGTTCTCCTGTGCTTTGTAGAACACATGTCTCAGAGCTCTCCAGCTTTTGCTCTCAATTGTTCCTCAGTGCCCAGCCCATCCTAGTCTGTCCTCCTCACTTTCTGTACCAAGACGACAGAGTTTAGTGTATGGAAGAATCATCAAACTGTCTTTTGATTGGGTATACACAGGTGCAAGGAGTATTTTCAAACTTCTTTTCCTACAAGTAGATTGCAGTGGAGATTAAATTAGTTATCTTTTTTCTATTTGAATTCTGCACTATAATTGTAGCAAAATTATGAATAGAAATAAAAAATAACATTAATCACTTGTGAATGTCAATCATTATTTTCAGGTCTTTATAATATTTCAACCATCACAACTACCATTTGATATAGATATCATTATTAACTACTGTTTGTAAATGGAGTTGTAGATTGAGGAAAATTAAACAACTTGCCCTGGATCACAGAGAGAGAAGTAGTAGGAATAGGAGAAAGGATTCAAACCTGGGCAGTCTAAATGACAGTCTGCATGTTTTATTATCTAGAAGACCCTTTGGGAATTTTAACAGAAGCTTCTCCTGATACTCAAACTGCGGAGAGATCAGAAACCTATCTCAGCCCATTAAGGTTTGACCAAATGAGACTGAATTGTTATATGTCCCTTGCCTAAAGTTTGGGTGAAGATAAAATAAGAACCATAAAATGCAGTATATTATTGGACCCTGTAAACCAAAGCTGGAGCTGGAGTTTACATATTATTCTCTGTGTATATACAAGCAGGCCATGTATGTGATTAAATCTTCAAGAAAGAGGCAAATGGCAGGGAAGAGAGTTCAAGCATCATTCTGCTATACTGTGTCTAGTACAGGCAAAGCATTTTGACTTTCTGAAATGGAAATGGCCTTGCCACTGTCATAGAAAAACTAAAGACCAGAGTTAGCCTCAAGTCTAAGCTCTACATCTATAACAAGATCTCAGATGTCAAAAATAGTCTCCAGGTTTGCAGAGAAGTTCTCCAAAATCTACCAGGATGATCAATAATAAATGACTGGGTCCACAAATGAGTCTGTCATTCAGTATGGCTTTTCCTGAAAACACACAGCCACAAATGGAATTGAATAAGTGACACAGTTATTCTTAAAGAGAGTTATAAAGAAGGAGGCTGTAATATTGATTTTGTTACATAGTAAAATAAACATTTGAACATTGTTGAGACATCAATTCCAAATATCTCAGATAATGATTATGAGTAGATAGACTCGAATATGAAGAAATACTGTTTTTTATAGTCACATATTCACAAAGTCAGTTTGTTACTATGGAATCACATATGATGTCATAAATTCGATGTTCTAAATTCAAACCTGGACTAAGCCACAGAAACAGCAGGAAATGGAGCTGGGGAGACAAAATCCTGCATAACAACAAAGAATATCAATAGTTAAAGAAATGAGTCAAACGTCTCTGAAACAAAAAAAGAAGGTGAGTGGGTTGAGTGTCCTAGAATCTTGCCAAAGAACTGAGGAGATGCAATTATCAGTCTATCATTTACCTCTGGAAATACTCTGCAGCATCAAATAATTTCAGATGATGACTACATGTAGGTAAAAGAGAAGTAAAGGCAATGAAGAGAGTGGTGAAAAAGGAAATTAAAACATACAGTATAAATCAATCCAGTAAGTCAGCATTTACTGAGCATATGATCATGTTAGAGCTAAGAGGTGAAAACACAGTCTCTATCTTTGACGAGAACACATAAACAAAGTACAATTCAATGCTCAGTAAAAGTATGTACAAAAAACACAGAACCCAGAGGAATGTTTAACACTGGGAATTTCTCCCACATCATGCTGAGCTTGCTTCTAAAGAATGCTAAAGGAAAGAGAAAGTTACAAAGAAAGAAGGATGGTATGTAGGCAAATACAAGGCATTTGGCAAAAGGAAAATATAGAGGTAGAGTGTAGAGGGAAGTGTGAGTAGATCTAGAAGTTGGGAGGATTTGAGGCCAAAATACCAGCACAAAAGGCTACAATCCAAGAATGTAAGTCCATGGTGATCTGAAACCTGCAACAAGGCCATGATAAGGGATGGAGAAGAGGCTTTGGACTTAGAATACCTCTTAGAGTTAAAAGTGATAGGATTTATGGTGGTGATGGGTTGATGGAAGGACATCAAGATTAGTCCTAGGGCTACACAGCTATACCATTCTCTGCAGTCACAGACTCAATTATTCAAATAACACTGATCAGATGTTTTTTTCTGGATGCAAGGCTTAGAACAGAAAATGATGTCTAGATCCCCCCAGGCACCTTGGTCTAAGGTAGAAGTTGAGATCCTTAAACAAACCAATAACATTAATCTTGATCAGCCACCTAGAAAGCATGAAATTACACAAATAATGCTCCAAAATAACAGTATTTGCTGCAATTGAAAATGCAAATTTATGTTTCAATCAGTAACTCATACAGTGACTTTCATCTTCTTGTGCTTTCCTACATGGTGCTCCCTTTTAGTTTGTTAATTAAAAGAAAAAAAACATTTTCAAACTAGAGGCTATGTGTAATTTGATAAGAAAACATACTAGTCAACAGATCTGTCGAGGAGGAAGGTCCTTGAATTTAAAACTCAGATTAATACCCTGAGGCTTATATCCATAGACAATGGAGCTATGGTTAATTGCGAAAGCAAGGTAAGTTTCAACACTACATGGCAAAAGGAAAAGTTCCATAAATGGTGAGCTTCAGTGTAAAGGAGAAAAAAAAAAGGCCTGCTATGTGAACCACCTAAATCCAAGTCCTGCTGAGCCCTGGGGAAATACCATATTATCATTTTTTAAATAACAAATGCCTCATGCCTTAGCTCTATACACTAACAACTTTCTATATTCAAAAATGTTTTATAATATCCTAATATGTGTTATTTTGACTCATGCCTATAAGAACAGGGGTAAAATACTGTCTGGAATTTGTATATTTTTTTTATATTGGCAAAAAGATAAATTCTAATTTTATTTATTCTTTTATTCCCCCAAAAAAAGGTTTCTAATGTCCCTGACATTAAAAATTAATAAACATTCTTTGTTTCCATATTAAGAATGATACTGGATCGAGATACTCAAAAGACAGCATAGACGCAGAAAAAAGAAGGGATTCTGAGAAATCAGGAGTACGTCTGAGCACTCAGGTGAGCTGACCTTAGAGCTGATGAGAGAATTAAAAAAGAAAAAACAGAAAATATAATAGAAAATATCAGGGGGCCAGGGAGTGCTGAGAGGGAACACTGGGCTGTTGAGATTTGTTTTCAAGTATAACTAATATCTTCATGGAGAGGTCAAGGGAAAACTAGGTAAAGCTGGTCCCCACTTCCCCCCACCATTCCACATCCCCAAGTAGATTATTTGAGTAGAAACCACAGCCAACCACAGCCATCTCCTCTGCTCAGCCTATGGGAGGAGACTGGTCTTGTTCAATTCAGGGAGGGGAGGGGAGCCCGGCCATCACATTGACCATTTTCTGCACAATCTTTCAGATGAGTCGTGCAGGCAGCCCGAAACACTTGCTGAGATGTTGCCTCATGAGCGGTCACACGCCGTGTAGACGCTGCCTTTGTGCAGCTGAGGGAACAGTGCCTCTTGGTCCCTGCCGCACATTACGTATTTATATTCACATGTGCCTGTTGTGGGAGCAGGGCCTGCACTTCTCCATGATCAGGGTGAGCAGAGATCAAACTACTGATTTTGGAGGGGAGTCACAGGCAATCTGGGTGAGGGGAAGGATATGGGAAATAGCAACTTTTCCACTTGCCTCTCCATGGTCTCCCCTATCCTTGTTTTCCCCCAAAGGGAATGCTAGGGGGCTCCATTCCCTCCCATGCAGCAGCAGCCTTCCAGCTCTGCTGCAGCCTCCTTTGGGTACCAGTTGCCCTCCTTTTTGTAGTCTACCAAAAAATGGTGGCAATGTCTCTTTAGCACGTGCTAACAGGCTTATCCATAAGGAAAGAGATGGGGAAAAAAGGAGGACACAGACCAAATCTACTAAGTTCCATATAAGCCGAGTCACAGGTAAAAAAAAAAAAAAAAAAAAAAGTAGGGCCTCCCTGGTGGCACAAGGGGTTAAGACGCAACCTATGGAGCTATCCACAGCCACTGCAGCAAGAATTCTATTCCCGGCCAGGGAGCTACCCACATGGTGCAGCAGACTCTCACCCCAGCAGACCTCTCCTTTCTCACCCGCTGCTCCCCTCAACAGTGTATTTCAGTCAATCTGCCTGTTCTGTTTCCCACTCTGTCTCTGGTGAATCCTCTCACCCCCCACACCTCTGGCCTGCACCCCTGTTCTTGTATGCGTAAATAAATAAACCTTTTAAAAAAAAAGTAGGAGGTATCAGATTTGTTTCTTGGTTTTGGTTGCTGTTCCAGGTTGAACCCCACTTTATTGCTCCTCACAGAAGTCAGGATGGGGCTAGAGCTAACGCGATACACAAGGGCCAAGGTTAAGTTAAGGGTCATAGAAGCCAGAGATGTTCTCATTGGGCATGGCCATGTTTAGTCTGACATAGCCATTCTGTAGAGGTGCGTGCATGGAAAGAATGGGTGGTGTAGGGTATTTCACCCATGGGTCTCTCCTCTCTCCCAAAGGGATCTCAAGAATTAGTGCCAAAGACAGACTCTCGAGGGCACCTTTCACGAAATCAGTGGTCTCGAACTTCTCGGAGCCCATCCCTGAGAGCTCCATCGATAGACGAAGGCAGAGGCAAGACTACCAGTAACAAGGTAGAGAGAGATGAAAGAATAATAACAGAACGACAATAATAGACCTTATCGATGCTTTCTATGTGCCAGACCCTGTCTACACACTTCACATGGTTTAGCTATTTGAGTCCTCATCAAAACCCCTTATTAAGTACCCTTTCATAGTTGAGGAAATGGAAGTGTGGAGGAACTTGCCAAAGATTTCACATTCCTTTTGCTACAAGAACTAGACTAAAACCAGGGGTCTCTAGGTTGAGAAACTGAACATTTAATGATTAATCTCTATGCTTTCGTATTCTTCTTCAACAACCATTGGAGAACCCAAGTCTCAGAACAGGGGGTGGAGAGGTCACCAAAAGACATAAATTGTTGAAGAATGTTAGATTGTGTGCTGTTTTGGACGTGTAACTAAGCCCAGTCACATAAGAGAAATAAGTTAGGTTTTTTGAGATTAAACTTTTGGATGCAGTTTAATCACAGTTCTCCCACAGACCCAGGCACTGGGAGAACACGCACCCTGCCAATCCACCTCTGTGGACCTCTAATTTGTTAAATCTCAAACTCCATTAGATCAACAATCTACCCAGGAACATGCCTTTGGAAAATAGGAAACAATCAACAAAGCTGAAATAATATGTGAATGCTTAAGAATTTACTGCACACCTAAGTAAGGGGTCCTTCTTCTGAAATGATTCCTTTCTGTGATAAAAGGTGATTCTTTCCAATTGAGTTCCACTGGCACAGGAACTTCTAGAGATGATAGATTCTTCCGCCCACTACCCTTCCCAGCAATCACTGTAATAAAAACAGGGCAAATACGGGGAGGGATGTGAAGTCTTCCGGGGGGAACATTCAGTCTCTTCATTCATTGTGTTACCTGAAGGTCACAGGTGGAGGCAGTGGGAAGCAAGGCCCTTCTTCAATCCCTATGACCCCCCACCTCGAGGGCTCCAAGTAGGTACACAGGCAGCAAAAGCAATAGACCTTTGAAAACTTGGTGCCAGCTACCAAAAAGCAGGGAAGAAAACCTGCGCTCTAGCTGTTCAAAATAAATAAATAAATAAATAAATAAAAGGTGGTGGGAGGGATCTGGAAGAAAATGAAAGCAATAGAAATCTCTGCTATCTGGAGTCTTGAAATATCTGAGTCCCTTTATCCCTAGAGTAGCTGAGATGACTCAGCATCCATCCAAGAGGTAGGAAGGACACAGAGGGTAGTGGACAGCTCCCTGACGCCAGCTGGGCAGAGCTGGGGACAAGGGTCCTAGGGGAGGAGCAAACTCAGAGGCCTATTTTCTCTCTCCAGCTCCCCAGTAGCTCCGCAACCTCCAGGACTTCATCTGCCTCCCCAAGCCAGCACGAGTCTCAAAAGTTTGATCAGCCTTCTCCGCGTACTCCACCCTCGCAGCACACACCACCTGTTCCTGTGGACTCCAGCCCTCCCACACCCCCAGAGCCCCAGTACCAGCCGACAGCTCGACACACCACCAAGATGAATGAGAACGCTGACACCTGGACGCATGGCATCATGCGGGACAAGAGGGACTATCCCCGCACGCCCCCCAGTGAGTGGAAGTCCTACCCCGCTCACAGGTCGCTCTACCCCTCCTCCCAGTTGGACAGCGACTGTATGTCATCAGACCCGCCCCCCAGGAAGAAGCAACAGGATATAGAGGAAGATGAGGATGAGGCCTACTGGGCATCAATGAGGACACTGTATGAGAAGACCCCCAGCTGCTCGCGCCCCCCACCGGTAAGCAGGACCACTGCCCATGGTACCTTGGTGTCCCTCCTAGTATTCCCACAGCCCTGGTGGGCCTGTTCAAAGCCCCACAGCCCCACCTACTCTCACCTCCCCACAAGTCAGGTGGAGGGAAGTTCATCCCAGCCTCCTGCCTCTTCTCCCTCCTGCAAACGTGGGGTTCCAGCCCTTGGCTCTCTCCTGCAGCCCATGCTCCAAGCAGAGGCCTGACTGCTTTCTTCCCACCCTGCTCTGGGATGAATCCCGTCCTGATCCCTTATAGTCTGAGTGGCTGTCCCCTCACTGGATCCCCCTCTGCAGCCCAAACCCAGGCATGCCCTCACCATCGCTGTGTCATCCCGGGCGCTCTTCAACATGATGGATGGCGCGAAAATCTTCGAGGAAGAGGGTCTGGAAAAGTACATGGAGTATCAGCTCAGCAATGAGAATGTCATCCTGACTCCAGGGCCTGCATTCCGCTTTGTCAAGGTATCTTCATGGCTGCCTTCAGCCTGTCAGGACCCTGGAAGGCAGAGGGAGGACCCAGGCCCACCCCTGGGATCTCACTCTGGCTCCCTTACAGCTCCTAGCCACCTCTGTCATTCTTGTCCTTTTGAGTTAACCTCAGGTCAGTCTATGCTGTCACAGAGACCTTGGCTGTTGAGAAAGGGACTCCGATCCGCAATTCTAGATTTGAGGATATTGAGCTTCCCTAAGAGGTCTTGACACCTGTAACAAACCTTTGTTCCCACCCTGCAAAAAGTAATAATGACTATACAGTTCTCAGCAGCAGAAATCAAATGAAATAAAATTCATTTTAGATCTCTTTGCTCCAAACATAGCATATGAAGAAAATCAAGATGTTCTTGACACTCAGGGGCATGATTTTAATAATAAGAGTCTCTGAACTCGTACTGAAATGGAGAACACGTAAACTCTGATCCCCTGTGTGAGGCATACAAATATAAAACAGTAACAACGTGAACATGAGTGAATGGCTCCTCCACAAATTATGAGTAGAAAGTCCTCATGGGGCACGGCAGACTCATGGGAGGAAACCACAAACCTCACGTTTAAGAAACAGACAAGTGCCCACATTGCGAGCACACAGTACAGAAACCATCAGCAAGGCCCTTCCCCGTGCAAGGATAACCATTAACAAGGTCCCTGTGCAATTTCCTTAAGCACTCTATATTTTCACAAGATCAAGGAAGGCAGATTTTACAAATACCTAAAAACCAGGGAGGGGTTTATCCTGATCTTTCTTGCTGCCTAACTCACAGAGATAATTCTAGCAAACCAAATGTAACAATTTTCAACACTACCCATCTATTCTGCAAACACTACCTAGGGTCCGAAGTATGAGAAACTGCAAATACAGAAATGATGCCATAACCCTGCCTTATAGGATTCATAATCTCTCAGTGAAGACCAGAGCTCGAATGTGACACCAGTGAGATGCCTTCTGTCCAGACTCCCGATGCCCACCTTCCCTGCCCCTCTTCACCCACGTTCATGTTTGCCACCTGCAGGCACTGCAACATGTCAATGCTAGACTCCGTGAGCTGTACCCCAATGACCAGGACTTATTTGATATTGTTCTGATGACTAATAACCATGCCCAAGTGGGAGTGCGGCTTATAAACAGCGTCAATCACTATGGTAAGTAAAATAAATACCATGGGGAGGAACAGCTCGCTGCTCTGAAAGAAAGAGGCCATGTTATTTTGCTAACTGTGGCCTAACTAATGCAGTGTCTTTGATACTGACACCCCCTTCTGCGTGAGGAATGTTTATTTGCCTATGTCAGAACAAGAGAGGCCATGTTCATTTTTAACTTCAGCACAGAGTTGGACCCAAAGCTCTGGACTTAACTTGTCAAATGTGAATTTCAAAGTCCTAATCCCAGGTCCTGCAATATATTTCTCTGTTTTATGTTTTTCACTTCTGAACTTGACTTCAAGGAGCTGTCAACCCAGAGGCTTTCTCTGTGTGATCAAACTTCTTGCTCACCACAGATACATGTTAAAGGTTTAAAGGTTCTCACCTTACTTCTCTGCTCTTAAAATATGACTATTCCTGGCTATTCTCCTCACACATCAAATCCATGCCATGCCGGTAAAACTGTCTTTATTCCTTAACATGAAAAATTTCATTAGCTCAAGTATCCTCATGACATTTCCAGAAATTTAAGAGAAAGAGCCCTTTTTTGTTATTATGGAACGATCTGACTTCTAATGTGAAGACCTTTAGCCTATTTTCTAAGTGATGTATCCAGCTTTGGGACATGTCAAGTCAAAATTAGGCTAACTGTGGCATATTTAAATTCTGTGTTGAAATTGGACATATTTATAAATAGTCAAGCTGTATCACAAGTTATGAGTTTTATATTATCCTAATTCTAAGACTGATATATTTTACTGAAACAAAGTTTAAAAAAGGTTTGCCTTTCAAAAATGTACCAACATTCTATGGTATTATGATATGAAAAGAGAGAACATATATCAAAGATGTGGCATAGATGAGGGCCACAATCACTCAATAAATGGCAGTTGTGATTACAGCACAATCTTATTGGATTTGGAGGCTGGTAGCATAAGGAACCAGTTCTTCACCTATAAATTGTGCTGATGAACTGACTGGCCTCAATATGCTCATTCAGGTTGTTCAGGGGATAACAATCTCTCACCTGAAGACTCCCCATGTCTGGGTGCTGAACACAATTTGCACCCTTCTCTGCCATGGCAGACTTACACCCATCTGGCTCCCTAGTGAACTATGATCTTGATAGAAGAGACGATGTTTTAATCATTTCTGATTAATCATTAATCATTTTTGATTTGCCACCAAATAATTTCTGATCATTAAATCAAATTACTTAGGGATATTTAGGGTACAATTTTATGTGACTTATATCCAACCTTGGGTGAAATGAAAAAGAGACATTAATAATTATTAATGAAATATGTCCAATTTCAACACAGAATTTAAATAATTATTAACTATTAAAAATTAATGACATTTTATTAATGCCATAGCAAATACTTCCACCTCAGCTGTTGATGGACACATTCTATTTACTCTCTTGGTCCACAGAGAAAATAAACAACTGACTAGATTTAGAATTCTGTTTTATTGTGTAGTGTGACTCAGTTTACCACATATCAGAAACACTTTGATATTAGGTATCATATCATACGCAAAATGTTATATTTTATTTTGCTGTTGTCACATTGTTGAGCAATGTTTTGCTTTACAAGTAATCATGCTTTGAGAAGGAATTATCTGTATCAGACTTTCAGATTATTTCCTTAGACTAAAAAAAAGGAATCCCAGGTTAAAAGGTATAATTGCTAAAATATCTTGGTACATATAGTCAAATTACTTTCTATTTGGTTGTACCAATTTACAACTCCATCCACAGTGTATGTGGGTGCCTATTTCATAAGCATACCATAAGCTTATTTTTAATTGTTGGTGATTTGAAAGGAAGTGAACGGTATGTTGATGTTTAGTCTACTAATGATTGCATATAAAATGCCAAGTCAGGAAAGAGGGGCATTTTTTTGCTGATGTTGCTTTTTAAAAAGTTTAAATCTTAGCATTACTTGTTATTACTATTTGTATTTTACTAGAGAAATATAGAATGACACTTAAAATAGCATCAACACCATAACCACCCCTTTCAATGAGAAAGAAGGAAGTTTAGAAGAATTAACATGAACCAGTCTATGTTTGTTTCCTTTTCTGTAATGAGGATAATGCCTGTCATAAAGTTGTGAGAGTAAAAGGGCATGGTCTATGTGGAAGTACTTCATAGACTATCATGCACCAAACACAACCAGTATTATGTAAAACAGCTAAGACAGTTTTTAATATCGGCTAATTCTAAACCTCAATGGGCACTCAGTTATTAACAAGGTGACTTTCATTTGCATTCACAGTAAGTACTCTGTCTTTAGTCCACGCCATAACACAGTCTTTCTTGCTCAATAATAGGCCTACTCATTGACCGCTTCTGTCTAACTGGTGGAAAGAGCCCAATTGGCTATTTGAAGACCTATCTTACCAACTTGTATCTCTCTTCAGATTGTGAAAAAATACAAGAAGCAATTCACGAAGGTATCAGTTTGGTTTTCTCTCTCTAGTTAATTAAGATGTTTACACTAATAACTACTTATATTGTGTGTCACATATCTGTGGGTTATGTCCTTATTGGAGTTTCTGCTAAGGTGTTGCCACAGGTGAGGACACCTCAGTTTATCTTCTAGAGCTTTGCTCTCCTAGAGATGGACATCCTCAGGGACTGTCCTGTGCATTTTGCACTTCCCCACCCATCACAGAAATGGAGGCAGAGTGTAGACAACCGCTTTGAGAAGTGCAGTTATAGAGAAGAGTTGAATCATCAGATGATAGCTAGAGAGGAAATGCAAGGCCTAGGAGAATCTTTTCTTTTTTTATTTTAATGGGAGACACTAAGGTTTATGGCTCAGGAAAAAGTATTAATCCATGGCCATGGTCTGTCAGGGATCGCTGCTGCAACGATGTTTGAAGGATCCAAAGACGTTGCTTACTGTGACTCGCAACTCCGTGTGGCTTTTGATGGAGACGCTATCCTTTTCGCTGAGGAAACTGATCATAATCCCAAGGACCATGGGGTGGACAAATTCTTTCAACATGAAAATGCATGTGAGACTAAAAATCTTGCTCAGGTAAGCAGCTTAAATCTTCTGTTCCTTAGGGGATAAGGGACAAGGTGGAGTTTTCGCTTCTTTACTCCCTCCTTTCAGTCTACCTGACCGAAGCCTGTATTCTTTCTCTTCCTACCCCGCCTGAAGTCTTTCTCTTAAGTACCTAGCAAAGGCCTTAAGAAAGGCCTATAAGAGAGTGTGTATTTCTTGTGTCTATGGCTTCCAAAACTTCTATACTCTCTCACTAGCTCAAACTTGGCCTTTATCAGCTTTTTTTTTTTTTTAATTGATTGAAATTTTCATTCCTGCTGGTATGGTGTCTGGGATGTCCTCCTTCAATGCTCTAAGATATTCTATCTGTCCCTGAAGATATCTTTGATTTTCCTTTGGACTTTTTGTGATGTTTTGTTAGGTTTGATATTATTTGGTTGCCCTGTGGCCTTAGCTCTCTTATGGGCTCAAGCAAAATTATGATGTTTTAGATTTGACTTTTCTTGTTGGTAGGGGAGGAGTAATAATCTTACCAGCATTCTGCAACCTAGGCAGATTCCAAATGTTTTAAATAAAATAGTTTCTCAAAAGGATATTTTTTAGTAAATTTCCCTCTTTTACTATACAAATATATGAATTCTAAAACATTTCCAAAATGGTAGTAAGACAGGATGATTTCAATACCTGGCTTGGATATGGTGATTATTTGGAAATAGTGACTATTTGGAAATAGTCAAATCAATAAGAACTGTGATCCCCTGGGTTTTAAAGCCAAACTGTGATGGGGTGATTCCTGTCACTATGTCCACTTTGCTTCTGTTGTCAAAAAAAAAAATAGTTACAATTTCTTTTTTTGCCTGTGTGTGCTTCTCACCTGTAGTGAGGCTTTAGTTGCTGTTTCTGATATAGACAGTCTCAGAGAAGGCAAGACTAAACACCTGATCACCTAGGTAATCCATCTTTGCAGAAAACAGGTTTTTTTTTCCCCCATGACATTGGAGAAAAGGGGAGCTTTTGAATTGTGAAATCAGGTCAGTCTTTCAAGATTATCCTTGACCTCCCTCAAAAACCCTCCCATTATTTCATAGAAAATCAGTTCCCTTGAATGAGGAGTAATAAAGAGAACCAGCACAGAACATATGCAAAGACAGGATGAGAAAAAGACAAAGAAGAGCAAAATTGAGTAGCAGTTAAAGAACTCTCACTAGAAATTGTTGCCCAAATATAGGTGAAAATTATGACTATTTACCATGGGGTTTAAAAACTTTCAAATTAGGGTCATAAAATGGGAATGCAAGAATCAGAGAAGAGATAAAACTTTACAACATAGAATTCTGAGATGAGTGTAATTGAAAAATAAAATTTTAGAAAGAAAAGTGACAGAAAAAGGTCACTAGTATAGAAAATACAACATATGCATAATTTGAATCTTTGGGGGAAAAAGCACTAAAAAATTTGGGGAAGGGGAAGACAAGCATTGTGCTAAATATAAATATAAAGATGCACATTTATATGAAAATACAAATTAAGAAAATGCCCTGCATTGTCTGATGTTAATGCATGTACTAAAGTATTAAAAGATTAAAGGTCACATTATGTGATAGGGAAATAGAACACAATGATTGCCACTGAGGCATGCCCTAGTAAGATTATATGACTTCAAAGAAGTGAAAAGAAATAATTCTTTGGGCAGCCAATATACACAAGTGAAAAACTCAGTCATTCACAGCAGTGCTCAATAGCAAAAGATAGTGGAGCACTGCTTGTAATATCATATATAGAGAAAATAAATATCAGGATTCATTATGCATCAAATAATGGGTTGTCACAAAAGTCATGACTCATTTTGCATTGAAAACATAGAAAAAATGTCAAAAATGTCAGGACTTGGGCCTCCCTGGTGGCACGAGGGGTTAAGCACCATACTATGAAGCAATCTGCAGTCTCTGCAGCACGAGTTCGATCCCTGGCCAGCCAGGGAGAAACCCACATGGCGAGGCAGACCTCTCCTGTCTCGCCCGCTGCTCCCCTCAGTAGTGTATTTCATTCAATCTGCCTGTTCTGTTCCCTGTTCTGTCTGGTGGATCCTCTCACCCCCCCACACCTCTGGCCTGTACCCCAGCTCTTGTGTGCATAAATAAACAAATCTTTTAAAAAAAGTCAGGACTTTTCTGACAACCCAATAGTTCATTAAGTAAACATGAAACAGATCAACAGTTGAGAGCATAGTATCTTTTGAGGGATTATTATTTTCATAATGTTTTCTGAAAAACCTAGCACTAGAAGACATATTTTGGCTAAAAAGCCAATAACTAGAAGCTCAAAGACATAAATGGGCATCAAATATATTTAACCATGGAGCTAAAGTGACAGCAATTGTAGGGAATAGGGTTATAGAAAAGAAATGTGGAAATTACATAACTAATGAAAACTGGAAAAAATATGAAGGTAAGAATATCTAAGGAAGAGTAAGTATGCTGGTACCTTCAGTTAAAATTGTGAATCAATGGATAAAATGTAAAGCAGATGGAAATGAGAATCTTTAATAACACAAATGTGAACACTGAGAAAGATTAAACAAAGAAAGCTGGCTGGAAAAGAAATAGGATGAGAGAGAGGTGAAGGTATAGCCTAATGTTATTATTTCTCATTATAAAGAAAAATAGATCCTGGATTTAAAAAGTAGAGGACTTGAGGATATTATAATTAGTTACAGTTGTAACGGTAATCAATAGCAAGAAATAATACAGACTTTCCTAAGTGAAGAAACACACATTTACCCAGGAAAAGAACAAAGAGATGTTAGTTAACAATCCCTTAAAAATCTTTAAACATGGAAAGTGCAATAAAAATCATAAGACGGGAGCCTCCCTGGTGGTGCAAAGGGTTAAGACGCAACCTATGAAGCTGTCTGTAGCTACTGCAGCACGAGTTCGATCCCTGACCAGGGAGTCACCCATAGGGCGCAGCAAATCTCTCCTGACTCTCCCGCTGCTCCCCTCAGCAGCGTATTTCAGTAGATCTGCCCGTTCTGTGCCCCATTCTGTCTCTGGTGAATTCTCTCACGCCCATACCTCTGGCCTGCACCCCAGTTCTTGTATGCATAAATAAATAAATCTTTTTTAAAAATCATAAGACGGGATTATTATCAACTGTATTTACAATCCTAATAAATGTAAATGGGCTAAAACACAATGTTTGTTCTAAAATGTAAGGCTTTCAGATTGGGTCACATCAAAAAAAAACCCCAAGTTTATTCTCTGTATCAGAGCTAAAACTAAGTATTCTGTAAGGCTGAAGATAAAAATGTGAAAGTATATAGCATCACTGTAACTATAAGACAAGACTGGAAACAAAGGTGTCAGCTTAAAAAGTTAATGTACAAACCACAAAAAGCAAATTAAAAGATTAGTGTTTTTAGTGATCAACTGAACTTTATTTATTCTATTTCTCTATGGATAGTTTGTCTGTTGCCCTGATTTAACTTGTTATAGGTCACATTATGTGATAGGTGAACACTTAAAATATTTGGATATGGGTGATATAGTATATGGCCATCCTTCATGTATTCCATGCAAGATGGGTCCAAAAGAGAAACTTGATTAACATAAATGCTGGCAATTTCAACACTATTGCCACCAGCCTTATAATGCTGTTCTCTCATGCAGTATTACATCTTTTTATATCTTGTAAGCCTCTGCTTTTTCAGAATTCACTTCCTTTGACTCATTGAATCACAGCTATGACATGTTCCTTTTACAGGTTCCCTTAAAAGCCTTTCTGGAAGAACTAGGCAGACTGCAAAAGAAGTTTTATGCCAAAGATGAACGGTTACTTTGCCCTATTAGAACCTACTTGGTGACAGCCAGGAGCGTAGCTAGTTCAGGTGCCCGTGTGCTGAAAACCCTTCGCCGCTGGGGTCTAGAGATAGATGAAGCTCTTTTCCTCGCTGGAGCTCCCAAAGGTCCCATCTTGATGAAGATAAGGCCGCACATCTTCTTCGATGACCACATGTTCCGCATTGAAGGGCACAAAAAATGAGCACCAACACAGCTCATGTACCTTATGACATTAATCAAAAAATTAATTAGGGATGCGAGGAAAAATAAAGCAGTGAGTCGGGTATTATAGAAACTACTTCTTTTGGATCTCTAGGGTAATTAGGTAGTTCTTCAGAAGCTAGGACCTCAGAAGTTAGCTCATTTGGAAAAGTTTTCTCTTGATTTTTTTTTAAATAATTTGAAACTTCAAGCTACATTTGTTTGAACTGTCAATGCTATTGAATACCATCGCACTTAGCTTTTTGTGTGCGAGTCATAATGATGACTCTTTAGGATAAGTTTAGAACATGAAAGCTTAAATGGGCATTTTTACAAGGCTAGTTTTCCAAAATATTGTTCACTTTTGATTGCCAGTAGATGGAAGAAATTGTTACCTATTGTATTACAGAATAGTGATCTTCAAGGAGGAAAGAGCATGGTTAAATACACTCTTGAAAATTAGAACTTTTTAGTCTACTGACTCTATGATCATCCTCTTATTCAATGCAAATTGAGACTGCCGCTCCACCTGCAGTAGTGGACCGGTTTTGATACTGCTCATTTAGAAATAAATCAGCTGGTTATTCATACGGGTACTTTCCATCTAAGATGAGCTCCAGACAGAATCTCTTTTGAGCTTTTGCAGTTAACTAGGTAAGTTCATTGCCTCTGAATCACAGAACTTCATATTTGAAGTCTCTGTCTTAGGAGGCAAAATGTTTGTATAGGGGGAAAAAAGCCATGGCCACCACTTCAAAATGTGACATGAAGTGCAGAGTCCTGGTCCTTCATTGCTACCATTCTGCTGTGATTATTGTGTGTGTGTTTTTTTTTTTTTTTTCAAAAACCATTGATTGCTTATTAACCACCATCTGTCACAAGTTAGTCTCAAGGAGCTGCTTACTTTCAGTCCCTGATTTTCTCATCAAACCAAACATTTGTGACATATTATTACTCTCCTTTATCAATGAAGAACTTATGGTTCAAAATGATTAAGTAGCTTGTCCAAGGATGTGCAGCTAATAAATGGTAAGACTAAGATTAAAATTCAGGTTTTACTTCAAAAGTTATATGTTGTCTATTTCCTGTGTTATAGAGCCTTCCACATCGACTTGTTCTCATTAATTCTACAGCTGTGGGACCCATCCTGAGTAAATCAGTGATTCCATTATGTTCTATGCTATATCCACACTGCAGTTACACTAGGTCTTGGGGATGCCGCTTCTCTCCACATCCTCTCCTGCTCCTTCTGCCCCTACCTCCATCTCTACCCCACCCAGCCACACATATTCCACCCCTGGCTTGAGTTTAAGACCACTGCTGACATACTTTTTTGATCTGGTTCCTAACAATGTATGCTAGTCCAAAATATATCATCCATGATGCTTAATGAGTACCTACTGCTGTGTAAGCATTCCCCAGTGTAAGGACAATAGAGATTCAGGTATAATCCTATTCTTTAAGAAATTTAAAACCTAAATCTCCAGGAGAAAGTCAAATGTGTAAACTCAAAGAGCCAACACTAGAGGGCTGTTTGTCCACAGTGCCAAGTGAGGGTCACACTTGAGGTTGAAGCAGAGATCTGTACAGGCTGGAAATGGAGAAATGGAGAGAAATGAGGCTTTCAAGGACAGGAAGGCATGGATAGAAAGGAGAAGAAGAAACTTATGTGCTCCAGGTTTAGTGAGCTTGAGAGGCTGATTTAAATTAAGAGAGAAGGTGGAATAAAGAGCTGCCCATGATGTCTGTTCCTACTGCCCTAATCCCCAGTGATAATGTGCTATCCGCCTCTGAGCTCCATGTTCAGTACACGTTATAAAAACTTGCAGCTTTCTACCCCCTTTTTTCTTTGTATTGCGACTACTCTGTATCATGACTATTTGTTGCATATTAAATCCTTCTCAAATATATGGGGGTGGAAAAGTTTTATCAATTCACTTTAAATTGTGCCTCTTTTATCCTAAAGATTCTAGAATGGGAACTAGAACAGGAGAGGGCGCTGCACTAGATAGTAAGTACCCTGAGTTTGGAAACAGTATCATTGGATGGTTGTAGATGAAAGAATGACTTAAGAGTAGCTTGGTCTACATCTATGAACTTTGCAGCTGGAAGATGGGTCCCTGTGGCAGTGCCCCTGAAGCTTCCTACAATATACAAAGTATACAAAGCACTTTCTTACTCATTCCTGTTACATTTAACAGTTTGGTGGGAGGGTTGGGGCAGCACTTGCGAGTGGACCTGATCAGAGGTTTGTGTTTACCGTAGGTCCAAGCTATCCCCAGTGTATGTCTGCCAGTGTCAAGTAAGACCATTAGAGGATGACTTTTTCTATAGGGATCAGGGTCATAAAGGTCTTCAGCAGGGCTCAAACTCTGGCCCCCAGATGAGTAGCATCAGAATCATCTCTTGTTAGAAATGCAAATCCTCAGGACCCATCTGGACCTACTGAATTTGAAGCTGCAGTACCCTAAGGGTCCCTGCCATTGTTAGGGGGAAAAGGATGTCCTAAAGCTAATCCATACAGGCTTTGTGGACTCCACCCCCACCCCAGGCCAAAGCCAAAGACACTGGGAACTCCACATCCCATCCCCACCCAAGGGAAGGTGGCTGGGACCTGAGGGTGGGGTTAAGCAGCCAAGTTGGTATAAAGCCAGACACGTGGGCTTTGGGGCATTCCCCATTTTGATTCTCTGCCAGCTCGCAGCGTCCAGCCAGCTCTGAGAGTGCCTTTGGGTTTCCAGGTCGGTGGATCGGGTAGGACGCATTGAAGACTTTATTTCCCTATTTTCTCCCTGAGTTGTACATTTTCCTTATTTCCTTTTCCCTGGTAAATAAACCTTTTATTGACCTTTTGTGTGTGCCTATAGTGGAGTATTAATAGGTCCTTTTTAAGTGTGCGGGTGAGGACCCACAGCCAGGAACACGTTCAATATCGGGGCTGCCCTATAACACCATTTCTGAGGTTGGTTTTGTTTTTACAAGGCTTCCCAGTGATTATGCAAAGCTCAAGTGTGGCCCATTTTGCTTCCACCTGATTCAGGTCGCTAAGGTCTTAGCCCCATCAGTGTGTGTTTGTGGGGTGAGAGGGGTGGAAGAGGGAGGGGGGAGAAAAGGAGGCTCAACAAGCCTTCCTCCTACTTCTGCTGGGCAGGAACCATTCTCCAGATGGGGTACGTGAACCACACTGAGGTTAACCAGGTGGCTTCACACCACACCCTAAGCCAGCCCTGAGGTGTGGGATCTGTAAGCCAGCCCATACCCAGATCTGCATGGTCACTGCACTCCCTAGGCACCAGCACGGGAGGCCACCACCCTCGGGATCGGGATTTCCTTGGGTAGAAAGAGCCTCAGCCTGAAGCCCCCCGGGCCATGCTCACCCTCCACCCTCCAGCCGTGAGGCAGCTCGGCGGCCGCCGGGTCCCAGCGCGCCGTTCTCTCCCAGCCAATCCGCGGCCCTCGGAACGAGAACTACAAGTCCCAGCATGCCCCACGCCGCCCCGTCAGGGCCGACCGGCGACGCCCCAGAGTTCCTCACGGGCAGGTTGCTGTCCAGGCCCGGGTCCGCGGCGACCCCGGAAGTTGCGCGCGGGGCCGGCGCCCGGGCCCCGGCGGCCATGGCCGTGGCGGCGGTGGCGGCGCTCGTGGCCGCGCTGGGCGGGGCGCTGTGGCTGGCGGCCCGGCGGGTCGTGGGGCCCGGCGCGCGGAGGCTGCGCGGAGGCGGGGACGCCGGCCCCATGCGGGGGAAGACCGTGCTCATCACCGGGGCGAACAGCGGCCTGGGCCGCGCCACGGCCGCCGCGCTGCTGCGCCTGGGCGCGCGCGTCATCATGGGCTGCCGCGACCGCGCGCGCGCCGAGGAGGCGGCCGGCCAGCTCCGCCGCGAGCTCCGCGAGGCCGGGGCCCCGGGCCCGACCCCGGCGGGGCGGGCGAGCTCGTCGTCAGGGAGCTGGACCTCGCCTCGCTGCGCTCCGTGCGCGCCTTCTGTCAGGAGATGCTCCAGGTGTGGGGCGCGGGCGGGCGGGCGCGGGCCAGGCCGGGGTGACCTTGGCGCGACCCCGGCGCCGGACACGCCGAGCCTGGGGGCTGGGCCGCCCCCGCGGACGGGAATGAGACACGAATGCCTGCAAGGAGGCTGAGGAAATAAGAGGCCCACATGGAAGACGAGTCCGTTTCTAGGCTTTTCCGTTTGTCACCTGAGCACCCAGGCCGAGGCCCTGGTTCTCCGCGTCTGAACTGCACCTGCGCCAAGCCCGGCCCTCCCCTCTCGGAGCCCGAGAGCAGGTGGAGAAGTTGCTAGTGGAGGACCTCAGAGCAGGCCTTTCATTAAAAAAAAAAAAAAAAAAACTCCTGCTGTTAGGGGGAAAAGGCTGTCCTAAAGCTAATTCTACACAGGCTTTGTGGACTCCACCCCCACCCCAGGTCAAAGCCAAAGACACTGGGAACTCCACATCCCATCACCACCCAAGGGAAGGTGGCTGGGACCTGAGGGTGGGCTAGGAAGGTTGGCTCTGGCCCACCGTGCGATTATGACCTCCAGCCTTCACCAGGCCCTGCCCTGATTCAACCAAGAACCTGGAATCCCAGTGCAGTGTTCATGTGCTCTAAACTGCGACAGACATAGAAAGGACATAATGCCTACAATTTATTGAAGGTTTACTACGTGCTGGGTGCTGTGCCAAAGCCAAACACTTTAGATACATTTTTTTAATGAAATTAAAGTAGCTTTAGCTATTATTGTCTGAATTCTCCCTCATCCTGGCTCATTGCCAATGGCTTGGCTCTTTGTCCCTATTTTACTACATAAGGCTGCAAAGGCACAAGCTAAGTGACTTACCAGAATCTGTCTCCAGTGCCCTTGCATTTAATCCCTATTTCTTTGCTTAGACAATTTTCCACTGAAGTGGATGACCTTTGTTAGGTTGCGGTAGAGGGTTTCATGCAGAGGTGACATGCAAAAGGACGTTCAGAAGAGTGAGATTTAAAATTAGTTGTCATGGGAATGGAGTCTCAAGTCTAGAGCAGAGGTGCCCAAACTTTTTTTTAAATACTGTCCTTTGACCAAAAGGGGTATCTCCCAAGTATTTAGGTCCAAATAGCCTAGTATTTATGGCAAACAACTTAGTAGCTATCTGAAAAAAATAAAGCACATAACTGATTTTTTTTTTAATTTCATCCTTCAGTAACCATAATTACTTACTAATGGGAAATGTATACCTGTTGGTCATCCCAACCTCGCAAACATTGGGGTCAGAGTGGACATTACCTCATTTCTTGCTCTGTATTAATTTTTAGCACTGTACTTGCATTTTACTATTAAGCTTTGCAAAGATTTGGCATCATGTGATTGAAGCTGTGAACCACCAGAGCTAGATTTTGAGATGCAACATATCATTGTGTTTCCGTAAAAATTCAAAATATGTAAGTGTCCTCAGTATTCCTTGAGATGTCATAGGGTACCCTGATGCATAGTATAAAACTGAGACAGATGTAGAGAGGCTTTTTGGCTATTATTTTGTCAAGAACTAGTACTAATAGGGCCTCCCCGGTGGCGCAGCGGTTGAGCGTTGGGTTGCGATGCTGCCCGCAGCCTCTGCGGCACTGGTTCGATCCCCAGCTGCTCCCCGGCCACCGGAGGAGGGTCCCACATGGCGCGCAGACCTCCCCTGCCGCCCGCTGCTCCCCTCAGCAGTGTACCTCGGTCCTTCTGCCTGCTCTGCTCCCTCCTCTGGCTCTGGTGAATTCTCTCACCCTCCCGAGCTTCTGACTGTACCCAGTGCATGTATAAACCAAACAAACAAACAAATAAATAAATAAATAAAACATGCCTCTAAAAAAAAAAAAAGAACTAGTACTAATATAAACAGTATTAGAAGAAAATCTTTCTATTCTTCATTAAAATACAGCTATGTTAAGGGGTAGTCCTCATTCTTGATCCCCATGGTATTTTGCTACTTTGGCCACATGAAGCAGAACAAGCTAAAAAGTAAGGAAATACAGAGATAATTAAATTGGCCTTTCTTCAAAGTGTTAATTCCTTTTTCACTCTGATTCAGCAACTATAACCAGAATTAAAAAAAAAAAAAAAATAGGAAGTGTAAATTTCCCACAGGTTGGTATTCTTGGTATTTAGGTTATTTATCTTCTAGAATTGAAAAAATAGTAAATGATAAGGTCTTAAAATAACACAAGCCCAACAAAGAATGATGGCTCCGAAATGATTAATTCAGGAAACTATTCCAAGGGATTAGTGAAAAAGAATACTCCTTTCTTTCCCCCAAGGGTGAACTCTTGCTTTCTTTTTGAAGTTGACCATTGGAAAGCAAGAGGTGCTTGGACAGGCAGATGAGAAATAGTTAATCCTCTGACAGGTAGGCTTTGATAAGGGGTGTGAAATTTAACACATTTTTTCCTTTCACTGATAACCTGGCAAAAAGACCAGTGAAATTTGAAATGTGACTTATCGATTTAATTGTGGGTCACTGCTGTGTCTTTACACCAGGAGAGTGTGTTACATTATTCTCTATGTATCAAGAGAGACAGAAGGCAGCCAGGAAAGGGTATGGATACCCAACATTAATTCAGCAATGAAAATACATCTTTCTGAGGGTTGTCTACACTTTGTGGTCTTTGTGATTTTAATTTGGAAATATACAGGGGGATATGGTTAAAGTGAAAAATTCTCACTATACAGATCTCAGTTGAAGGCCCCTCAGAGCTTGAAAGGTAGTTTTCATGTAGGGAAGAAAGCACTGAATTCTACAGTCATGGAGGCCAAAGGTGTTTGCTGATCCTACCTGCTCTGTTAATCACCTTTGCTGTTACTGTGATCCATAGTATTTATCATTCATTGTGTTGCTTCTGGTATTACCTGTTTAAAATTTTCTTTAATCTTTGGTTTAGTCATGATAGTCTCTCCAGTCTGACATCCACCCTCGCTATTGCTTGTCTCAAGTTTAAGGAAACAATTTGGAAGTTAGTCCCTCCCCATGGTACCATTTACGCTTAGAAAACTATAGAATACAGCAAGCTTAACTTTCCTCCGGTGTTGTGTTGACACTGGTAGTTCTGAGAATAACCAGTGCTGATCTGTCTCCTGTTGTATTTCTACTCTCTAGAGCATGTGGATTCTGTGGTCTGAAAGTCCCAATTAGAAAAGCAGGGGCATTGGTAACAGAATATTTCATTCTAGGATTTTTGTCACCTAGGAGCCCCTGGATATTGGGCAGATCACCGAACTTTTTTTTTTTTTTTTTTTTTTTTGGTGGGACCCTCACCGGCGGCCGGGAACGAACTGGCGCTGCAGAGGCTGCGGGCAGCCTCACAGCCCAGCACTCAACTGCTGCGCCACCAGGGGAGGCCCTACTTCTTTAAGAACTTCATGTTGCTTATAGAATTGTTGAAAGTAGATGAGATAATGTGTAAAACAAGTACGGTTAAACCCCTGCTAGCATACAAATCTGTTTTCCCTCACAGTTCAAAAGTCATAGAGACAATGTAAAGAGTTCTAGGAGTTTCTAAGAATTTTTTTTAATTGTGCTATTTAGACCTGTATTCCTAAGTCTGTGGTTCTCTTTTTGACATTTAAAGGAAGAGCCTCGACTGGATGTCTTGATCAATAATGCAGGGATCTTCCAGTGCCCGTATATGAAGACTGAAGACGGGTTTGAGATGCAGTTTGGAGTGAACCATCTAGGGCACTTCCTTCTCACCAATCTTCTCCTGGGACTCCTCAAAAGCTCAGCTCCCAGCAGAATTGTGGTGGTTTCTTCCAAACTTTATAAGTATGGAGACATAAACTTTGAAGACTTGAACAGTGAACAAAGCTATAATAAGAGCTTTTGCTATAGTCGCAGCAAGCTTGCTAACATTCTGTTTACCAGAGAACTAGCCCGCCGCTTAGAAGGCACAGATGTTACTGTCAATGTATTACACCCCGGCATCGTGCGGACTAACCTCGGGAGGCACATACACATTCCACTGCTGGTCAAACCACTTTTCAATTTGCTGTCCTGGGCCTTTTTCAAAACTCCAGTGGAAGGTGCCCAGACTTCGGTTTACTTAGCCTCTTCACCTGAGGTAGAAGGTGTGTCAGGGAAGTACTTTGGGGATTGCAAAGAGGAGGAACTATTGCCCAAAGCTATGGACGAGTCAGTTGCAAGAAAACTCTGGGATATCAGTGAAGTAATGGTTGGCATATTAAAATAGGAACAAAGAGTAAAAGAGATCTACTTATCAAACTATCAGTTATACCAATGATCAGGAATGGTAGGGCTGAGCACTCCTTAGTAAAAAACAATTTTGGTTTTACGGGAATACTGCTAAGAGGTACATGTGAATATTTTGAAGTTACTAAAATTTATTTTTTGGAGGAAAATATTTCAGAAAACATTTCAATTGTACACAATAAGTATGATGAACAATATAATAAATATATCTTAAAAATTATAAATGGATAAGCATGGATTACAAATATTGAATTCAGTGACTTAAAATAGATAACTTGAGAAGTTGTTCAAGTATCTTTCAGTTTCATGCCACTGTTAAGCATTTTTATTACAATGCTGGATTTTGTGTGGACAGTTCTTACTTGGAATAAATTTGCTGATGCAAGTCCTTAACTGTGTATTTCTTTAGTGATTGTAGTTGACCCTTTATCATCTCACTAGCCTCTACTGACATTGGTGTGGTCAGAGTATTTGCTTCCCACTTATCTTACATATTACCTTAAGAGGTATTATTTCTAAAGTCCAAATCTATTTCATAGTCATCTCCCTGCTTAGAAACCCGTGCTGGTTTCTGCTTTGCACTTCCCATAGCAGTGGGTTTCCAGCCTTATTTCTTTTTTTGTAAAGCTGTAGAATTCTTTTTTCTCTTAAAGATTTATTTTTATGCAAGAACGGGGGTACAGGCCAGATGCGCTGGAGGATGAGAGGATTCACCAGAGATAGAGCAGGGAACAGAACAGGCAGACTAAAGAAATACACTGCTGAGGGAAGCAGTGGGCAAGACAGGAGAGGTCTGCTGCGCCATGTGGGATTCTCGCCAACCGGCCAGGATCAAACCTGCACTGTAGAAGCTGTGGACAGCTTCACAGAGCGGCGCTCAACCTTCTGCGCCACCAGGGAGGCCATGTAGAATTCCTTTTCAAAAGAAGTCTCACTCAAATATGGAAGCTGTAGGGGTCAAACGTCAGCAATGCTATAAGGGTGGAGTACCTCAACACTATTCCTGAAGGAATTTTGTAAGATAGGTAGCTTAGGGGCCATTTTTGCTTAATGTTTCAACTCCATGTATATGTGAGTCTCATGGACTGGCCACCGGCTGATGTTGCCCTCTGACACTTAGTGCTATCCAAAGAACTCTACAATGATGAAAATAATTCTGTCCTCACTGTCCAATATGGTAGACTAAAGCACGTGGTCACTGAGTACCTGAAATATGAGAACTGAATTTCTAATCTTAATGTTAATATAAATTTAAATAACCATATATACTGAATGACTAATGTCTTAGACAACACAGTCGATCCATCGCAGTACCCTGACGACCCTTCTCCTTTTCACTTGGAATTCTTGCCCTTGAACATTTTCCTATGGATGTATTCCTTCTTCATTTCTGTAGGCAGAACCAATTCTCTTTCTACTTGGTTTCCATTGTTCTTGGCAGCTTTACAGAGAAATTAGTGCATTAATTATTTGTCCTCAAGTCCAACAAGACAATTGGAATTCTCAGAGGAAAATAAATATTTTTATTATTTTCCTTCTTCAAAGAATCAAGTCTAGTACCTGACACAGTAAACATTGAGTAATAATGTCTGAATGAATAATAGGTAATTTATTAATGGTGTGCTTAATAATTGAGTCTAGGCATCTAGTTATAACATCAAAAATAGCTAATAATTTTAATTTTTTGTCTCAACCACCTGTTAATATTCAAAAAAGAATAAGACTAAAGGATGAACTGAACTACACTGACCTTAATGACTGTTTTGGTCGAGAGTAATCCTCGATTGGTTGTTTTTAAGCTTATGAGTATCGGTTTTTCTGAAAATGGCAGGAGATTGGCAGATCATACAGTTCTGTTTTCTGTTAGTGCATCGGGTTTCTGAATGTGAGAAACACTGTTATCACAGGTGTGTCTTTGCAGGTGTAGTAAGTATAAATACATATTCTTTGAAATGTATTTTTTTTTTTAAATAATCCTACAAAGAGACCTACTGAACTTAGAAATATGGGCAGGAAATACACCTGAATACAACTTGGAAAAATGGAAGCTAGTAAATCTGTCTTACACCTCAACTTCATTAAAAGGAACTTTTTTCCCCCATTTTATACCATCTTTTCTGGCTACATTTTGATATCTGATGCTTTTCAGGGGATTTGGGTCTTTTGTAAGAGTTGAGCCTTTCAGAGTTCTTGTTTGTAGCACCATAATAAAACAGGATATATTAATTTATCATGATGGAAAACTAGAAACTCATCTAGAAACACCAACCATTAAGGTAAAATGAGCTGCCATTTGGAAGATGTCCTTCCCACCCAGTGTTTGATGGAATAGACGATTAATAGCTATGGTATGACCAGTTAGATTTTCAAGATTTAAGCTCTGCGTCTCTCCTCCCTTCCTGCTGCAGACTTTCTTTTGACCATTTCACCGAGTCTAAATAAAAGGCAATTCTGTTACTCTGATACACTCACCCTTAGCAAGACATTGTGAAAGGACTGTGTAATGTGATGTGCCAGGCACGGAATAGTTGCGCTGGGAACCCATTTTCCATGTTGGTTACTAGTTTTGTCTTTCCAAATACTTCTATTTCGGTTTGTTATAAAAAGAGGTAAAAAGAGGGTGAGGATCCTGGGTCTTCTGCCTCAGCTTCCCTCAGAGTATTTTGTATCATGGCGTTCTAAGTAGCATTTAGTTGGGAAAGAGGTTTCACTGCCTGATTACACCACCACACTGGGCTTGATTAAAAGCTCCACTACCTACTTCTCCCTGTGTCCTTGGCAAGTTACTTACATCTGAGCTGTTTTCTCAGATTTATTATTGAGATATGAATGCCTACTGATGGCTCAGTGAGTGACAGTCTGTAGAGTGTTTAGCAAAGCACCTCGCACATATGGGAACTCACCCACTTCCTCTTCCCATGGTCCCTTATCATTACTATAAATAGGAATAGCAATTAGTATGGTAATATTTAGGTGAGTGCATATGATGGAAACAAAAACCCACCAAATTTTCTTTAAAGAGATCAAATTGTAAATGTGGAGGTTTATTAGGATATGTATTACTTTTTTTTTTCTTTTACAATCCTTTAAAAATGTAAGAACTATTGTTAGCTCACCAGGCCATACGGTTGCACTTAATGCCACAGTCTCCCAAGCCCAGTGTACTACTTATTTGTCAGAGTCCTCACATATATGGTAACTCCTATTTTTTAATAAGTCTCATAGTTTCTCACTATCATTTGTAATCTTCCATAACCCTTTGCTTACAGACCCAGGAAGTCTAGAGAGTATATTTTTAAAATCTCTCCAGCTATAGATTCTGGTGTGAGAAATAGCAGTTATCTGCCTTCAACTCCTTTCCCTAACAAACCTGCTGGGTCTGGCCAGAGATCTAAGAGAATCTATATTTGAATTTTTAATTGATTCCAAATGTCCTAAGGAACACTGAAGAGAGAACATGTTACTAATCACGCTTTGGAACTTAGCCCCCACAGACAGCTTCAGATGTTTCACAAATGCGCTCTGGACAATGGGGAGTTAAATTAGTTACAGGTTAACATGGAGTAAGGTAATTTTTTCCTAGAGGAAAGTTAGATGGAGGACTCAGTTTTATGCAGACAGGAAGAGTTTTTACTAAGCAGACGTTTGTCAAAGTACAGTAGCTGCACTCTTAACCATCACCTAATAAACACTGTAATAACCGAGTCTCCATTCTTTTTATAAAACATATTGACTGCTAGAAAGGGTAACGCTATGTGAAATAATCAGAAGGAAAAAGATGAATACTGGGTGGTGTCACTAATATGTGGAATATAAAGTAACTAAACTACAAGATAAACAGAAGCTTAGAAACTCACCCTCACAGCTGATTACAGAATTGAAGCACCCAAAGGTGGAGGGGGGCTTGGGATGGAGGGTGAAAGGACAAAGAAGGAAGGAAACAGGACAGAATATGGTGCTGGACTATGGCTGATTTGCTGGTGGGTACACTGTGATGGTAATGCCTGATAGGGGTATTCACATAGTAACTCAAAAATAATTACATAAGAAAACATACTGACTGGTGTACAATAGCCTAGCTGGCAGTTCCCCCTCTAACACACCCCTGCATTCTTCTCCCACCTGCTCTGTTACACACTTTGGAAGAGTGAGTTGTGCACCATTCATTCAACAAATAGATACTGAATGCCCAATTGTGCCAGTTATTATTCTAAGATTTGGGGACACAGGAGGTGACAAAAAAAACATCCAAGCTCATGTGTGTGTGTGTTAGCTATCTGTGTTATTAGTCATGATATAAGTTGTTAATCCTAATAAATATCAAAGAAATGTGAGCACCAAGAGAGAATTTCTGTGGAAGAGGAAACTGAAAGCGTTGTAAAAACTACATGAAGGCAAATCACTAGAAACATACCGTTGAGTAAAGTGTCAAAACAACTGTCCAATACTAAAAATAAACACTATAAAAAAAATCTAAAACAGGTCTACATTCAGTTCTTTGCCAAGGACTTCAATCTTACCTCCATTTTAAAGACACCAAAGCTGGAAGTCGTACACTGTATTATTTGATTATAATGTAAAAAGATGGAATTCCAAGCAATTCAAACTCAGGAAAAAAAGACATCTAAACCCTTAACTTTACATCAGAAAATAGCAAATGAATGAATATATGATAAGTGTTAAGTTCAAATGTGTGATGCATGTAATTCATTTTCATGATTTATGTCTTTAACAGTCACGTACACTGCCAATTCCAAATAAAAGTTTCTGTGTGTGAAATAGAGATATCACCAACTGAAGTGTTTCAGTTGGAGGAATTGGAAATATGTGTGTTCTGTGTAGTGAATCATTTCCCCATAAACTTTCATACTTGGGGAATGTTTTATCTTTCAAATGTCCCAATATACTAAATTGATTATTTAATATATTTGGTCCTGAGAGTTTTGCAGACTAAGTTTAATTATTATCACTGACCCTGTGTTTGTTTCTCTCTCATTTAAAACTCCTACTATATGGGAACTAGGTAAGTTCCTGAATATTTAATAGTTATTTTTCAGTAT